CCCAAACCCCCCTGGAAATTACGCCCCTGTGAGTCACCCAGGAAGTTTTTTTTTTGTTTTTTTTTTCAAAGGGAACCGTGATCACCAGGAAGTTAAGATGTTCACTAAGCCACCTTATTAAGCACGAATGTGCTGGAGATAATTTAGGATAATTCTACTAAGCGTCTAAAGATTCACACTACTTTATTTGGTGTGTTTTCTCCTCATGTGTTGTACACATAAAAGGAGTTTGAGGTTGAATCAGCTGTGCTTCTACAAAATGTAGACTGTGATGCTAATCGGCTATTCCTGGGGAAACTTGGTCTGCAGTTGCAGTGATAAAGTGGTTTCCATAGAAACATTCTATCTCCAGATCTCAGTTTTTGCAGAGAGACTTTATCCGTCATGGGGAACTATTACACTAAGCCAATAGCTGAGCACTGGGAAGGCAGCGAAAGGAAAACAAGTTAGGGGAAAAAAACTAGCTCATTTAAATTAATAAAACTGTCAAAATGAAAAGCTCAGAATGCTGACGCTAATATTTATTCATTTATTTATCTTCCCAGGTGGTTTGGCGGTCTCATTTTAGACATCAAACGCAAGGCCCCTCACTACCTGTCTGACTACACTGATGCTTGTAGCTTACAGTGTGTCGCCTCTTTCTTATTCCTCTACTGTGCCTGCATGTCCCCTGTCATCACCTTTGGAGGACTTCTGGGCGAGGCAACAGAAGGACGCATAGTAAATCACCTTCCTATAAATGTTCACGCTGTTCTGCAAAGACTAGCTTCACACTGTAGTAGAGTTTCACTAGACAATACTTGTAGTTCAACATCATGAATCCCTTTTCAGCATATATATCCATTAGTAATTTCTTTGTCCTTTCCCATCCCCCAGAGTGCAATTGAGTCACTGTTTGGAGCCTCACTGACTGGAATTGCCTATTCCCTGTTTGCCGGGCAGCCCCTTACCATTCTGGGGAGCACGGGGCCTGTGCTTGTTTTTGAAAAGATATTGTTCAAATTCTGCAAGTATGTTTTTTTTCCTTGACAAATGTCGAATTTTGTTTTGTTACATTGTCTGACTTGAAAATGAATGTATTGGCCATGAATTGATCTCATGGACAAAAAGCATGCAGTTTTATTTTAATATTGATTTTCCTCTAATTCGCAATATTTCAAAGACAACTGTTCTTGTTAATCTCAACATAGGGAGTATGGCTTGTCCTATCTGTCACTGAGGACCTGTATCGGCCTGTGGACAGCTTTCCTCTGTATTCTGCTGGTGGCCACAGATGCCAGTTCCCTCGTTTGCTACATCACACGTTTTACAGAGGAAGCCTTTGCCTCACTCATCTGCATCATTTTCATCTACGAGGCCTTGGAGAAACTCGTCCACCTGGGGAAACACTATCCCTTTAATAAGAACAACAACCTGGACAAACTCACCTTGTACTCGTAAGTGGACATTAATTCTCATAGCATGGGCTGTTTAAAGTAATGCAGGAATAATTTTGAAGACCATTTCTTAGCCATACAGTAAATCCATGATGACGGATTATTAACTTACCCAGATGCTCATGTGCTACCACAGATGTTCATGCGTTGAGCCTTCTGACCCCACCAATGGCACCCTGAAGTACTGGGAGATGAACAACATCACTGCTTCAGAAATCTATTGGGAAGCACTGGAGGTCAAGGTATTACTGAACCACTAAAAAGTATTAAAAAACAAAACAAAACCAAAAAGCAAAGCATGAACAAATCTGTTAGTTATGGTAGTTTTATATGCATATAAGACATATTTAAATACTGATTTACATGGGGACAAGTTTGAAAAGCATTTATTTAGGTTTTCCACCTTAAAGTGACATCCTTTTCCAGATGGGAGAGATAGAGCAGATTAAGGGCATGTGTGTTGGATTATATTGGATTACTCAAACTGCACTGCAAATCACTGTAAAAGCACATTTTGAAAGTTTTTTGTAGACATGGGAGTTCATAAACCCTGTAACGAATAGTTGTGCCCTGTTCTCTGCAGGGCTGTATTGAAAATCGTGGGGAGTTTGTAGGCAGTGCCTGTGGACCTCAAGGACCCTACGTTCCTGACGTTCTCTTCTGGTGTGTCATTCTCTTCTTTTCCACGGTCTTCATGTCAGCTTTCCTCAAGGAGTTCAAGTTCAGCAACTACTTTCCCACCAAGGTACTGTCCATAGTCGGTTATCAGTTGCGATAGTGTATCAAGATTATGACTGAATCATCAAGAGAAAAATACTAGTTGTCACTAACTTAGCATGTCTTTACTTTTGTAGCACAATGCAGTGGCACACTCTAGTGGTCATACTTAAGTATAGCATGATTAAAAGGCAGTAGTGACTCAATTGATTGGTTTCTATTAATTAGTATTAATGAAACCCATGCATTTATGGATTGTTTTAAGTTTTTTTTTTTTTTTAACAAACACCCCTCAATTTTTTTGGTTTGTTTTATTTAGGTCAGGTCCGTTATCAGTGACTTTGCTGTTTTCATCACTATCCTAACCATGGTCTTGGTTGACTATGCCTTAGGGGTCCCATCTCCAAAACTGAAAGTTCCCAGTGTGTTTAAGGTGAGCCAGAGCATACAATAAATTGTTCAGTTCAACCTTCAAAATGAAAGATTAAATATACACAAGTCTATCTCAGAACAGCACACACATACCCACACACACAACCCCAGTTCTGAAAACGTTTGGACACAGAATAAAACTATTTGCAAATCTCGTAAGCCCCTTATTTAATTAAAAATAGAGAAAAGAAACACATCGATGTGTAAAGTAGGAAGCTCATCTCAAAAAAAGTTGCAGCTGGGGTGACAAAAGGCTTCAAGCGGTACTAAAGCAAAACGACTTGAAAAACAAAGAAAAAAAAAAAGCAATGTAGTCAGGCAGAGTTCACCATTCTCCAACATGTTTCCCAACTTAAAATGTCAACATCTACAGTATAACACCATGAAAAGACTCCAGGAATCTTGAAAAATCATGTCAAGGCTGAAAATCATTATTGTCTTAGGAAAACATGGACCTTGCATCCTGCAGACTAAAGAGGAGAGGGACCATCCAGCTTATTATCAGTGCTCATTTCCAAAAGCCTGCATTTCTGATACTGGTACAGGGGAGCATTGGCACCTATGGAACTGGCAGCTTCCACCTGTGGAAAAGCACCATCAGTGGTGAAAAGTGTATACAGGTTTTGTAGCAACATATGTTCCTATCTAGAGGACATCTTTTTCAGGGAGGACATATCTCAGCAAAACAGTGCTAAAGTGCATACTGCGGGTATTACAACAGCATTGCTTCACAGTAGATGAGTCTGGGTGCTGAACTGGCCTGTTTGCAATCCAGACCCTTCACCATATGAAAACATTCGGAGCATGTAAACAAATGCAACAAACAAATAATGAAGCAAAAACATGACAAAGAAGACCCAGGACTGATCTAGTCTGACCTAGCTCTACATCAGACTAGAATGGGGGAACAGTCATTTACCATAAAGTTCAGCAGCTGGTCTCCTCAGTTCCCAGATGTTTACTGATGTTAAAAGAAGAGGGGATCCTACACACTGATAAACATGGTCATGTCTCAAGTTCAGAATGACCTAATATTTGCTTAGTTTAAACATTAGATATGTTTTTAATCTTCTATTGTGAATGAAATGTGGGTTTATGAGATATGAAAATTATTCTGTTCTCTTTTTATTTACATTTTACACTACATCCCAACTTTTTCAGAACTGGGTTTGCATATGTTGCTGCCCTTACTGGCCAGAAGAAGATACCCATCTATGGTGACTTTAAGGGATGGGGGAATGCACATCCCAATACACAGTGAATACACAATTTAAATACACGAGGACAGAGAATGGAGATTATGACTCCCCATCCCTTGCTATGAGAATTCCTTTAAAATTACTCTTGACATGCTATTTTAGTGTAATCACCTAACCAAACGCAATATTTTCTCATTAGCCAACAAGAGATGATAGAGGTTGGTTCATCACCCCATTGGGGCCTAACCCCTGGTGGACAGCAGTCATAACGGTGGTGCCAGCTATGCTTTGTACCATCCTTATCTTCATGGACCAGCAGATCACGGCTGTCATAATCAACAGAAAGGAACACAAACTCAAGGTACTTTCCTGCTTTCCTACAGACTGCAAATGAGTTGCATAATATCTTGCTGAACTGCATCAAAACAGCTCAACTTTAACTTTATTAACCGGTATCTCCCCTCTCTAGAAAGGCTGTGGATATCATCTAGATCTGTTCATGGTTGGGGTTATGCTAGGTGTTTGCTCTTTGATGGGGTTGCCATGGTTTGTAGCAGCCACCGTCCTCTCCATCACCCACGTCAACAGCCTGAAACTTGAATCCGAGTGCTCAGCTCCCGGGGAGCAGCCCAAGTTCCTTGGTATCAGAGAGCAGCGCTTTACCGGGCTCATGATCTTTGCTCTTATGGGGTGCTCGGTCTTCATGACATCAGTGCTCAAGGTGAGACGCTCGTTTGAACTCATTCTGCAGTTATGATCACAGTATTATTAAATGTGACTTGAGTTACAAAGATGCTTGCTGTTTTATATCGCTATTTTCAACGCCTTAAAGCATTTGAAACATACACAGGTTTTTGTGTTTACACTTAATTTTTCCAAGTATCCCTCAGGAACTGTATGAAATATATTTCTCTATTGTTGATTTTCAGTTCATACCCATGCCTGTGTTGTATGGAGTATTCCTTTATATGGGAGCATCTTCTCTCAGAGGCATTCAGGTAAAAGTTGTTGGAGTTTCACAGTAATATGTAATTTATTTGCTGAAATTATGCATGTGAGAAAATAACATGTGTTATTTTTCCTATAGGATAATCTGTGTAGGCTTTACATTCTTGCTTAGCCATCATAGGGGATCGCCTCCATATTGTCTGGCTGCCCAGATAAGAAGAGCTAATTGGTCTCTAGCGTGTTCCCATCTTAAAATGATGGGAGCTCACTAAAATAGTGCTTATTTTCACTATTTTTAACAGTTGCCTTTTTAAACTTCTTTTCAGTGGTCTGACTTATTGTTGCTACACATTCACAGAGAAACTTTTCACTTGCCTTAGTGTTAGACTTTCTGCACAAGCTTGTCAGGAGTCTAGTCTGCTTGGCTTTTGACGCTTAAAAGGGAATTTATTTTTGGTTTATAAAAGCTTAGCTGTTTGACCTAAAAAAAAAAAATAAAGCAGTGTTATATCTATAGGTTGTTCATTACAAACTTATACTGCACATCTAAACCTTACTCTGATTTTCTAAGTATAGGCTTTATAAACAGCTGATGCTCTCAGAAGCTCTCAAGAAGATTAATATAACCTTAAAGCTCCTTTATGGCAAAGGGGGAAATTGTATGTTTAATCAGGATTAAAACAGCTGTCTATGGCCTCTGGAGTGATGAAAGCAGACTCAATCATACCTAAAATGTCTAACTTTAAAACCGAAATCATGAGATTGCATTGTAGACAGAGAGCGATTAATCTTAACCTTCCATGTGTTGTGATTTTATAGTAATAATGCTCACATTTGGACTATTTTTAATCAAGAAGTAAATAAGTGTAGTAAATAAGAATAATTACCTTTCCTTTGCAGTTTTATGACCGTCTCAGATTGTTCGGTATGCCAGCCAAGCACCAGCCCGATTTCATCTACCTACGACATGTACCCCTGAGGAAGGTGCACCTCTTCACCATCATCCAGCTCAGCTGTTTGGTTCTTCTGTGGACCATCAAGACATCCAGGGCTGCCATTGTGTTTCCTATGATGGTCAGTAAACAGCGCATTTTCCTCACACTCAAATATATTGGTTGGGGCTACAACCTTTAGGAAAACCAGAAGGGAAAAAGAGCGTGTGAAAGCATTGATGCACATGGTCGAAAATGATCTGTGATGATGTATCTGATATTCCTGTGTTGGTGTTGTTCCTGCACCATCATCATGAAACTGGTTTTCAGTTTCAGCATTGCTGTTAACCAGTCATGCTGTTGTGATGTTACAGTGTTGAAAAATTGAAGAAGAAAAAAATGCATTTGTTTATATAAACCTCTCTCCTGGAACAAGCGTTCCAAGTGTTTTCTTTATTAATTTATCCAATATGACAAATATACACCAAATTTAAGTCACTCATGTCTAGGGTTGCCAACTCCCTGAAAAATAAATAAGGGACACCTCGTGGCCAGGGCCGGGCAACCCAGTTGTCTTCACCCTTCCCAGTGTGGTGAATTTTCTAGCTCTTTTTTTGTGTGTGAAATTATTTTTTTAACCATTTGACTTGAAGTTGATTTAAGTAGATGCATATTCTATTCTTTGTGA